GTATTTAGAGCATGCAGGGGCCTCCATCCATTGCCTGCCCTCCCCACCCCACACAGCCTCCCACCCTGGCGGTGGCAATAAAACATCTCCAGTCACAGTTGAGAACCTCTGACTTCAAGGACTATCTCAACATGTCTCCCGAACCTTGTAGGATCCCTTTTGCCCTGGACCGGCCCTCATCCTCTCTTGCTTCCCAACCACACTGAATCTTTGAGATTCAATTTAACAACCAATTTTCCTGCCAAGTTCTCCCAACCAGCCCTACACCCTCTGGTTTCTCAGCCTCCAAAACAACTTAGACCTCTGAACCACTGTTTGTAATTCCTCTTAGTGAGTTCTGCAGGGCAGCCGTTTTAAGTTTCTGGTTTGTTCTTACATCCTCAGAGCCAGACAGTCAGGTTGTTGAGGTGCCTGAATGACACACACGTGCAACTCTTACAAATAGTGCCACAGTTAATGTGTTACAGAATCACTCTGCTATCATTCAGTCCAGTTGCATGAGCTTCTGAAAGCAACATGTTCATAACTCACTCTTTTAAAAGTGGCCAACAGTGTGCACCGGCACAGAGGCATCGGTGCAAAAGCACTCTAAACACATTCAGATACACAGGTGACTCCGGCCTCCCACTGTCACTGTGAAAATGTAAATGGGTGAATTATAAAAGTCAGAAGTATCTTGTCATCTTTTCAAGGGCAATCTATTAGGAACTAGGCAAAAAATCAAACCAGATATATGAAATGTCAGATTAATGAGAGAAAAATGAGAAGCATTTTCTTTAAGCAGTGCCTGAATGGGATGTGTGGGAGAACCTCACAGAATGATAATTATTTATCAAGCGTCTGTGTGGGGGTCACAGCACAAAGCAGCATGTGGCAAGCATGTCAATGAAGCTAAAAGCACCTTACATAACCAAACTGGCAGGGGAGGGGGGCGGTGTTCCAGCCTTGGAGGAGCAAGCTGCACCTCCTGACAGACTCCAGCTTGCCGTGGGGAAAACGACGGCACAAAATACTCTTCTCCTACCCCAAATGAGTGACATGATCGTTTCACAGCCCAGGGTATTTGAAACATGGCTGGCATCAAGTCGGGGATGTTGATACTCATTACAAGAGCCTGATTTTAGTTACAGTAGGGCTTCTTTTTGTGGCTGTGTTCCTTTTCTTTTAAGGCTTTTGGAAACAACATTCACACCATCAAATGTACCTATTCAGCGTGCACAACTCAACAGCCTTTAACTGCTGTAGAACCATCATCAAAATCAACTTCAGAAAGTTTCTATCTTCTCCCCGCCCCCTCCCTGCAAATAAAACCACACACACTGGCAGTCACTCTTCACTTGCCTCCAAACCCCCAGCCCAAGGCAGCCAGTCAGCAACTTACTTTCTGCCTTCTTAGATCTGCCTATTCTGGACATTTCACATAAATGGAATCTTACAGCAGGTGGTCTGGCTCATCACAAGGCGTATACTGTTCTCAAGGTCAATCTGCATTGCAGCATGCACTAGTGCTGCCTTCCTTGTTATCTCCAAGTCACATCCCACTGTGTGGACATACACACTGAACTGGCCTCTAGTCAGTCCACACAACCTGCGGGTCACTCCCACCTTTAGCTGTTACCAATGACGCTGCAATGAACATTCATGCACAAGTATTTATGTCACCCTAGGCTCTTCCTTCCCTTGCATATACACCTAGGAGAATTTCTAGGTAACACGGTATCTTTATGCTTAACATTTTGAAGACCTGCCAAATTGTTTTTCAAAGTAGTTACACCACTTTAAATTCCTATCATCTGCACAGGGGAGTTCTAATTTCTCCATAGTCTCACCCACGCTTGCTAGTGCCTAGCTTTTTAATTATAGCCATCCAGTGGATATGAAGTGGTATCTCATTGTGGCTTTAACTTGCAGTCCCCTGATAGTCTGTGGCTAACAATGCTAACCATCTTTCCATGCGCTACTAGTCACATGTATATTTTCTTTGAAAAAATGTCTCATCTGATCTTTTTTGCCCATGTTATGGGTTATTTGTATTGTTATTAGCATTGTTATTATGATGTCCATTTTACTAGGTTACTTTTATATAGTTATCTTTTATAAAAGTTCTTTATATACTCTGGACTAGAGTCCCTTATCAAATATATCATTTGCAAGTAAGTTCTTCCATTCGTTGGGTCGTCTTTTTACTTTCTATTGTTGTTGGTGGTGTTCTTATATACTATCTCCCAGCTAAGAGAAGAGTAATCTTTTAGTGAACTGGTGGGGAGTAAACCAAAGCATCCATCCAATCTAAGCATTACTAACATAAGCAGTAATGGTTACTCAGACACCCCTTCCCAAGCCAGTCTCCCTTCATTTTCAGTAACAAGATTTCCCAAGTATCAGAACAGCCTATGGATGTCTACAAACAAGAGAGCAATTTTTCAGCCTCCTAAGAGTAACACATACCTCCATCCAGGCCACTGGTCTGTGAGCAACAGCAGCGTGTGCACCCCCTGCAATGCGTTCCTAGGATGAGGACACCACACAAACAGGGGCAGGATCGTGGACCTAAGGTGACTCGAAGGTCAACCATATATAACAGGGAGTAGGATCCGACACCCAGAGCAATCATATCAACCCCCATCTAGCCCTTTCTAACAAGAGAAAAGATAAATTTGTACATTGTTTGAGCCACCTTACCTGGAGTGTTCCTGTTACAAACAACAAAACCTGATACAAGGCATACAGCTATTAAGTGAAAGTTTTGATTCACATCCACACAGATCAAATGCAAGCCCAGGCTCCTTCTTACCATTTATGAAGTACTACCTACTGTTCCAATGTTACCCTGCTGCTTTTTCAACCCAAAGAATAGAAAATAGAAAAAAAAACTGATAGAAAAGATGCCAAAATATATTTATATTAAATATATGCAATCAACTGTGAAATTATTATATGAAGTTACCCAATAGGAATTTTGTACAAACTCCATCAGAAACACATTACCAACACCCACATGCCCCCCAACAGGCGAAGCTTCTTTTCTTTAAGAAGAATAAAACGCTGGCACTCCAGTGTGCTGTGCGGTACTGGAAGACAGGGGCAGCAGACTGACAGCTCCTTGATTGAATCTAATCTCAGTTCTGTCACTTCTAAGCAACAATTCAATATTGCTTAATCCTGTACAAATTTGGTGAATGTTCACCATCCACAAACATTGCATTGGGTACCAAGTGATATTAAACCAGGGTTTTACATTACCCTCATGGAACTGATACCCGAACAGAAAAGGAACAAATTTCTTGTTCTTCCCAGTAGGCGATTTAGCCAGGAATCCGGGAAACAGACAAGAGAAGAGTCTAGGTTGTTCAAACTTTTCACTGAAGAATGCCTTCAAATTCCAAAATTAGGGTAGATAGCTCAGAACACAGGCCTTCTCCAGATTTTGCTCCAAAGACGGAAGGCTAACAGCAATACACTGATAGGGGGTGTGGAGGTGACAAGAACCTAAGAGCTCCCCAGCACCATCCACTGGTAACATCAAACCTAAACAGACGTTTGGCTTTTTCGAAGTGAGCAAATGGGAGTCTTATAACCCAGTTGAACAATATCATGATCCTAAAGACTCAAGGAATAGTTAACCTAAGACCTTTGGAAAAACTTACAAGTATTGTCTTTGGGGAAAAAAAAAAAGATTTATATGAGAATGAATTAACATGCCTAAATAAAATGCTAAATCCCATAAAGAGAGCACACCATTTTCCCCAAGAATTTTTGGAAAATTTACAAAAACCAATATAACTTGGGCACCATTTGAAATCCCTATCAGACATCCCACACACGATACTGATGAGGCAGCTGAGTAGCAAATCCTGGAGCTCAGGGAAGAGATCCAGGTAGAGATCATAAACTTGGGAGTTACCAAAAAGGAATGACACTTAAAATCATAAAGCTGGATTAAGACCACTGAGGTTGGTTTAGAAGTTAGAGGGTAAGGTTGGGCAGGAAAGAGTTAAGGACTGAGGCCCTGAGTTCCCACATCAAGAGGCCTGGGAAATGAGGAACTGGAGAAGTGGCAACTTCCCAGGCTACAAAGGAATCACTATGTTATCAGCCACTGAAGAAATACCCCACAAGGAGCACCACTTTCCTTGGTGCTACAGGAGAACATGGAAATAAATGCCAGACAAGACATCACATTGAGAGATGATTGTTTTTCATTTTTTACTTCCCCCTCTCCAGCAAAATTTTTTTCAACTAAATAACTGAAAGTCATATAAGAAATAAGAAACTGATCTTCAATTCAGAGTTTACCTTGGACCCTCCTCACAGAGGATACACAATGAAAGTTCTAAACACAAATGAATCTGCTCTGACTCAACAGCAACGACGACTGTCTTTCCTTAGTTTTGTTCACCCATGACCTCAATGTCAATCAGTATTCTCTCCACACTGTGAATTAGGCTTGGATCAACAATGAACGACTCCAAGGTTACGTTTTAAGTGGCAACACTGACTAAAATGACTATGAGCTTTAGCCTAGATGAAGCTATGGCTCCACAGCTAAACACGGTGAGCAAAATTGAAGAATTCCCCATGAATACATAGCCTAGAACTAGAATAAGACAACATTCTTCTAGGCCATGGGAATCTCAGTGGCAATTACCCTCTATGTTTAAAATAACTGGTGGGGGCCTCCCTGGTGGTGCAGGGGTTAAGTTTCAGTGTTACCAAGCTGTCACCAGTCTCTGCAGCACAAATTTGATCCCCAACCAGGGAGCTAACCCACATGGCACAGCAAACCTCTCCTGTCTCGCCCGCTGCTCCCCTCAGCAGTGTATTTCAGGGGATCCACCTGTTCTGTTCCCCGCTCTGTCTCTGGTGAATCCTCTCACCCCCACACCTCTGGCCTATACCCCAGTTCTTTCATGCACAAGTAAATCTTCAAAAGATAAAATAAAAATTATCAAAAAAATAAAGTAACTCATTCTTTAAGTCCAGTAATGGCAGTAACTTACCGGTCAGCAGCTTCTACATCAAAACAAAACCTTCGATCAATGGAGTCGGTATGTCTTTTGGTACATTCTTTCAAGGAGAACACCTCTCCATCTCCCTGCAAATAATTATTTCAGACATTTTCAAAAACTATAGCACGAACATATACACCTGATGCTGAGGGAAGGGGGTGGCAAGGGTCAAGGCTAAGTTCCCATGTCCTACGCTCACTGAAACTAACTTATTTACTACAACATAGGTTCTTAATCATTTTTGTCATCCTCTTTTTCTTAAGGGTTTCCAGATCTCACTTTGGTTATAGTTACATTAAGCCAGACCTCATGATCTGGTTTTAAAAGGTGGGTTAACAATAGCGTCCACCAACTAGAATATTTTCTATTCTTCTAGTCTATTCTTTCAAAAAGAATATTTTTATTTCACATGACCGGTCGGCATGTGACCATTTTTCGCCTATAAAAAACTCAAGCCCGGGCCTCCCCGGTGGCGCAGCGGTTGAGCACTGGGTTGCAAAGCTGCCTGCAGCCTCTGCAGCGCCGGTTCGATCCCTGGCTGCTCCCGGGCCACCGGAGGAGGGTCCCACATGGCGCGCAGACCTCTCCTGCCGCCCGCTGCTCCCCTCAGCAGTGTACTTCAGTCTGCCTGCTCTGCTCCCTGCTCTGGCTCTGGTGAATTCGCTCACCCTCCCGCGCTTCTGACTGTACCCAGTGCTTGTATAAGTAAATAAATAAATCTTTAAAAAAAAAAAAAAAAACTCAAGCCCACATGAATCTACTAGAAACACACTAGGGGCTTACACCAGCAGCTAAGGCCATCAAAATGCTAGAACCACTCAATCTACGTGGCTTCCCTATATCCCAATTTTTTTTTAATGTGGTACAATTTTACCTGATTTAACCACCCTCACTAAGAGCCTCATTAAAAAGAGGCTCACCCTCTTTAAAAAGTACCCTCACCTCATTAAAAAGAGGTGGCAGACGCGAGAGAGAAGCGACACAGGATTACAGGGACTCTGGAAAGAACTGTGAGAAATCCGAGCACACAGTTCTAGAACATTCTAATGGTTTTTAGAGTAGATCTTCAAACAATATTACACCTTCGGACACACAAATGTCTGAATATCAGTCATACTTTTTAATGTATTTTTTATTATCTGATGACTATAACAAAAAGGCCTCACTAAGCAGGTATGCCTTAGGATTTGAGTTATCTCTGATATGGATGAGAGACTAAAACCTTAAGCTTCATGCCAACCCCATCAGCCCCCAAGGGTTACATCCTCAATTCCTCTTCTTCTCATGGCCCAAATTCTCCATATTTGTTTCATTATAACCAAAAATAAAGAAAATGTATTTTTATTACAAGCTGCTTTAAATATGCTTCAGGAAAATGCAAAATATATGTAAATAGAAGTGATGTGTTATTTCTGTATTCACATATGCCAAATGATGGCCTTCCACACAGTCAGCAATGAACTAACCTTCTTCCTTAAATTCCGTTACCAGTGATGTTCAATACTGGTCAGAACAGATTTTACTCTAGACTATGGCTTATTCTTATTCAGACCCCTGAATCACAAAAAATTGCTGTAGGTGTAACTTTCTTCTAAGAACAGAGACATGGAGAAAAATGAGACCAGAAAAACTCATGCACACAAGTCAAAAAACACAAAAACTTTTTTCCCTATTTAGAAACACAGAAAGTGCAAACTGTAATCCTAGAAACAAAATTAAATGTATTGATGACTGACAAAGGCAAATAACAGTAAAACCTCCCCTCCACAACACCTCTCACGGAGCATGCAGAGTATACAATCACATACTTACAAGCTTCCCCCCAGATCTGTGCTCAAATGGGATTATGTTGAACTTCTTAGCTGCTTTCCGGTACATGCAGTAGTGTTTGACCCAGCTGGAACCGAATGGAGCAGGCCCTTCAACAAAAAAGACAATTTTTCCCCCTCAGAAATAAGCAGATATATGGTGTTCCAAACACGTTACTAAAGAGGAAAAAAACAGCAGTCACTGATATAGCTGCATGAACTATTTTTGCTTTCTTGGGTATTGACCTAAAGTGAATTTCAGCTGGGACTACATCAAATTAAAGAGCTTCTGCACAGCAAAAGACAAAGTCACCAAAACAAGGGACCCCACCGATTGGGAGAAAAATTTTGCACAAAACACTGATCATAAAGGACTGATCACAAATATCTACAAAAAGCTGATGAGACTCAACAAAAAAAAAAGTAAATAATCCAGTCAAAAAATGGGCAGAAGAGCTAAAAAGAAACTTCTCCAAAGAGGAAATACAAATGGCCAACAGGCACCTGAAAAATGTTCAACATCACTTGTTATTAGGGAAATGCAAATCAAAACTACCATGAGATACCATCTTACACTAGTGAGAATGGCACATATTAAAAAAACTAACAACAACAAATGTTGGCGAGGTTGTGGAGAAAAAGGAACTCTCCTGCGCTGCTGATGGGAGTGCAAACTGGTCCAACCACTATGGAGAGCTGTGTGGAGATTCCTCAACCTGCTAAAGATGGAGCTTCCATATGATCCAGCAAGTCCATTCCTAGGTATTTACCCAGAGGGTACAGAATCATTAATTCAAAAGGGTACCTGCACCCTTGTGTTTATAGCAGTACTATTTACAATAGGTAAGGTACAGAAACAACCCAAATGCCCCCAAATAGATGACTGGATCAAGAAGATGTGGTACATATACACAATGGAATATTACTCAGCAATCAAAAAAAAAAAACTCATGCAATTTGCAGCAACATGGATAGAGCTGGAAGGGATCATGCTCAGCGAAATAAGCCAGAAAGAAAAAGAAAAACACCGGATGGTCTCATTCATAGCAGGAATTTAGGAAAACTAAATAAAGGACCAGGAAAAAACCTAATTCTAATAAAGTAAAAATCACAGTCAGCAAGCAACTATAAACCAGAGACACACTACAGGGGGGTGAGGAAGGGGCAGGATCAAAACAAGGGGGGTGGGGACTATAAGCAAGATGAAAATGCATACATTGTGCAAAAATGAAAAACAATGTAAAAAAATATATAAAATAAAATTAAAAATATATAAAAAGTAAAATAACTCATAGGATAAATTTTTATTATACAAACATCTACAAGAACTTTGGTGATGGATGCAGTGTTCAAGATTGTTGGTTCTAGCACACAAGGAAAAGGGGGTGACAAAGAGAGAGCATAGAGAGGTAATTTGAGAAAAGATTCTGACACTTTCACAACCCAGAAGCCATTTAAAGACATATTTTTCAAATAGTTTCGTAAGTCGTGCCATCAAACCTGAAAACTTACAGTAAGCTTTGGTTTGTTTGTATCTAAATATTAAGAACTCAGGAGGGTTTCAAGAATTTCAATCAGCACATGTGATGGTCCTGGATTCAATTCTGGCCTCTCAAAATGACAGAAATGTGGAACCACGGTTCTGAGGCATAGAGCCTCAAATCCCACTGGTGTTCTCTCCCACTCCAGCACCTTGGAGAGCAGCTGCCGCTAGGCCCCATGGAAGGCAAGGCTTTGGCAATGAAGGGTAAGGGGGATGGGTGAGCTGCCCACATGTGCCCAGGACATTCCCAGACCATGTTTCACCTCTCGCTAAGTCAGTATTCCCACGTCAGAGCGCCTCAGAGACAGTGGGGCATGCCAGCATGTTCTAGCATTTCAGGTGCCAGGTGACGCACAAGCACAAGACTGGAGCCCAAGAGAGGGTGAGCACTGTCTCTTTTACCAAGACATTTTTAAAACGCAACTTATATCTTATTCACCATTATTTCATATCCTTACCAAAAAAAAAATATATATATATATATACTTTTCTATCTAGAAGTCAAGAAGGACAAACTCAGGAGGGGTGAAAAAAGGCCTCATTTGAAAGAAATACATTTAGTTTTAGGAAAAGCTCCTACCATTATCTTGGGGCTAGAGCTGGGGAGAAAATGAAAGGGGTTGCCAGGCCAAAATAACCTCATCTTGTACCATCATTATTAATCCAAAGACCCGAATTTAGGAGCTACTGGCATGAGGAGCACCAAGGGCTAGCATTGGTACTATAGTCCATGGGTCACAAAATTATCACTCAGATATCATATTCAATACTATGAAGAATGGGGGGAAAAACTCAAGGGGAGGCTGACCTTGTCTTTTTAATCTAAAGAACATTAAGCTTAGATCTAGACCCAACGCCTAAGAAATGACAAAGCCAAACCTCAGATTATAGAGTCTCCAGGCCGAGGATCAAGATGATCCCACTAAGTGGCTGTGTACTCCTGATCCCACCTGACCCTACTCAGCTGGCTCATTTTTTTCATAGGTTTTGGGTTTTTTTTAAAGATTTATTTATTTATTTATACAAGCACTGGGTACAGTCAGAAACGCGGGAGGGTGAGAGAATTCGCCAGAGCGGGGAACAGAACAGGCAGACTGACGAAACACACTGCTGAGGGGAGCAGCGGGCGCGGCAGGAGAGGTCTGTGCGCCATATGGGACCCTTGCCGGCGGCCGGGAATCGAACCGGTGCTACAGAGGCTACGGGCACCTCCACAACCCAGCGTTCAACCGCTGCGCCACCAGGGAGGCCTGGTGGTTTGTTTGTTTTTTTTTTAAGATTTATTTATGCATACAAGAACCGGGGTGCAGACCAGATGTGCAGGAGGGTGAGAGGATTCACCAGAGACAGAGGGGAACAAATCAAGCAGACTGACTGAAATACACTGCTGAGAAGAGCAGCAGGTGGAGTCAGGAGAGGTCTGCTGCACCATGTGGGTATCTCACCGGCGGACTGGGATGGAACCCACACTGCAGAGGCTGCTGACAGCTTCACAGCACTGCGCTCAACCTCCTGCGCCACCAGGGGAGGCCCTCATAGGTGGTTTTTAAGGCTCTGAGTAAAGAGGCTTTGAACTTGACTAAGTTCCGCAGCAAGAGAAAGCACAGCATGGGCTCCAACCTCAGAATGGCAGCGTTCAGGAGCTGTGTGATCTGGGGAGCACTGCTCACCTTTTCTCATATGTAATGGGGGTAAAAAGAGTACTTTGCACTGCAGGTGTTTTGTGGTTAAACAAGACTAGCTGTACAGTGAGCACAACAGTTGTTTACAATGAGTGAAGAATTGTACCACTATTGTTTTCACTATTTTTTCCATCGATTTCCAGCCCGATTCAGGTAACAGTTAAGATTCTAAAAATCAGATTTTTCAGGGATCTTTCACTTAGGCAGGTAATGCAGCAATTCGATCCTTCTCATGTCTCCACCCTGTATTTTCATTTCATTCTTTCACCTTCAATAGATGAACAGATTAAGAAGATGAAGCATCGGGATGATCCGCGGGTCCTCCTGGCCACAGAACTGTTCTCTGTGAGAAGTGAGGGCTCCACCAGCCCGAGCAGGGCAGTGAGGAAGGGCAGAGCAGCCTCCATTTTCTGAACTCCCACTGCAGCACAGGGCAGGACCACGCAGGGGTGTCCTGAGTGGGCTCTCTGTCCCTAACATGGGAAGTTCAAAACCCTGTGACTGTCACACTTTACAAATGAAATGAACACTCTCAAGCATCCTGGCTACCATCAAGGTGGGGAAGAGAACAGTAAATCCAGAAGCCTTTTCACCTTCTCTTCCTTCTTGCTAACCAGCATCTGGGTTTCACAGTTGAAGTAGTAACACATTTTCAGAGCTTGACTATACAACGAAGAACAAGTTGTCACCGTTTCAAAGAGTTTGGGGGTGTCTCCCATTTCAAAATGAGGACCCCCTATGCCCTGCACATTCATGGAGACAGCAATGACCCCCCAAAATTCCATGTGGTGAGTCCAGGTGCCATCTAGGAAGATTTTTCACAGCCATCTCCAATTGCCATAATTTTAGTAAAAACAAGTGATCCCAGATAGGTGTGGCCAGAAGTGGCAAGAAGGAGAGACTTGCATAGGCTGGAGAAGGGGGGCTGAGACAAGCAGGAGCATTTGTGTATATTTATGAATGTGAGTGTGTGAGAAGGATGGGGTGAGGGCAGAGGAAAGAGGACACCCCGTCACAAGAAAGTGTTAGCAAAGCGAGGTACAGGATCGGGGTGTGGCTGGAAAGCAGGGCTCTCGCAGAACTGCTACCTCACAGTCCCTGCTTCGCAAGCAGTGAAGTGTTTTCCCATAAATGTAAAATACACCTTCTGGACAGGAGGGGGCACAGAAAGGAGCATAATTACTCCAATCACCACGTCGCTGTAATTGCAGTAAGAGTTTTAAGATAATTTTCTGGCACCCATTTGTCCCCGTGTGAGGGCGCTTACTTTTTTCCTGGACGTACAGGTAGCCTTCCGCTGTGAACTGACCAGGCCTTTTATGGTCCTTTGGGTTCTGTCTGATCTTGTTCATGAGTTCTTCCACTTCTGACCTTGTTCCTTCAAAACGATTCCGCGTCTGAAAAGGAGCAAAAAAATTTTAACCAGAGTTGTACCTTGTCGTGTGAGTTTGTTCACATGCATTTTTCAGTCTCAAGATAACTACAACTAAACGTGTTGTATTTTTCTACAGAGTTTTCAAAATATATCCATCTCTGCTGAGATTATTCAAAGAAAAGAATCAGAGGCAAAGGGACTAATAAAGGACTATATACCAAGGGAACTAGAGGCTATTTCAATTATGAAACTCTCCAACACCAACAATCATTCTATTATTCAAAACAGGCTACACATCCATTGCTCTCCAGTGTCAGCGCCACCTCTAGTTCACTAAGCTTCAGAGAAGGGTGAATAAGGAGGTCTCTCTGCCACGGCGGGTACAGAGCTAACTGCCCACACAGCCACTGGCCATCAAGCCCCAGTGAAACAACTGGCTACAAAAGCCACTTGTAAGAGTGCGCCCTCCACTGGAAGACTGAAGAAACTTCACCATCACAGGCCTGGTACTGTGGCACTTGGTGCAATTAGACAGACCCAGGCCTCTGAACTTCTGATTCACAAACTTTCCTTTCAGCCTCTGGTGACAGAAACTGCTCAGGAACAGATCTGTGCTTCTAGATCGCAGCTACTGGTGCTTGGAAGGAGGCAAGTGAGGCCTGTCTGGTTGGCCTTTTTGAAGGCACCAACCTGTGTGTCATCCACGGCAAACATGCAACCGTTATGCCAGAAGACATCCAGGTAGCTCATTGCAAGCATGGAGGACAGGCTGAAGAAGCCACTGTGATGGGAAACATTTTGTTTTCAAAAAAAAAAAAAAAATTTTTTTCCCTCTCTCTTTTCCTATTATTGCAGTTCTAAACATTAGATATTTCCCTCCATGGGATCAAAAGGTGCCTGAGTGTATGACTACAAGCAGAAAAGCAGGGAACAGAAATCACATGCTGGCGGTCTTTCCATTTTCATGTGTGTGCGAATCTTTAACATAAACGCAGGGACACAAAGCATGAGTGCAAGTCCGAGTGTTTCGGTGAACAAGTTTCAGCAGTTCATCTTGATAACAATCCAACAAACCTGTAAATTTTTTCTGCACCATGTCAGTATTTGGAATTTTTTAAACAGGTGAATTTTTGCTACTGACAGCAAAAATAAAAAATCCCTACCACCACGTCCTGCGGTGTTACTAAATCTTAGATTTAAAAAAACATGTGGGGCCTCCCTGGTGGCGCAGGGAATTAAGCACCGCACTATGAAGCCATCCACAGCCTCTGCGGCATGAGTTCGATCCCCAGCCAGCCAGGGAGAAACCCACATGGCACAGCAGACCTCTCCTGTCTCGCCCGCTGCTCCCCTCAGCAGTGTATTTCAGTCAGTTTGCCTGTTCGGCTCCCCACTCTGTCTCTGGTGGATCCTCTCACCCCCCACATCTCTGTCCTGTGCCACAGCTCTTGCATGCATAAAAATAAATAAATCCTTAAAAAAAAAAAAAAAGCAGGTGACTGCATAGCTGTTTTACAGCTGTTTAGATGTCTTCCCTTGTGCAACGATGATAATAATAATGAGTTGATAATGAGCTGGCTCACTATTATTGTTATTTAGGCACTAAGTTTAAGGATTTAGACCCCCAAAAAATTAGCTCCTTTGCAAACGCGTAAAGGAGTGTCATTTCTTCCAGGCCACGGCCATCGCCCTTGAAAACGAGGACTCTTTCCCGCAGCAGAGGGGCAAGGAGAGAGAGGCACTCACTACAAATAATGTCTGATATCTGAAAAGACAAATCACATTTCTGAAACCCCGGAGACGCGGGTGCCGATATCGCCGGGGAACGGCTGCCAGGGAAACGCTGCGCCGGGCGAGGTGACAAAATTACCCGGCGGCTGTGCTGAGTCAGCGCCCACTCCTGGCCCTCCTGCTCCTCCACACTCAACAGTGATTGCATTAATACTGAAGAACTGCTGACGTGAAACTGCGGAGCGGGGCCGAGATGAAAAATGATCACTGAAATATCTACCTGTGAACGAGGTTACCAAGGGTCCAATAAGCACAAGTAGAAAGGCCGGGGTTTTCAGGGAGATGAGATAAATGTAGATGATAAAGGAGAAAACATCTGCAGAGCCTTACACACCAGCTGAGAGGTTTTCAAAACTCTGTCTCTCTCCCAGGGGAACACACGGCTGCCCCAGAGGGCCTCACCTGCCACAGCCAGACCCCTCACCTGCTCTCTCGCCGGTGTCAAGGGCGCGTCGGGCTCTTCTTAACCCTCATCTTATTCTCCGCCCTTGTCACCTTATTCCCTGCAACCCTCATGTCTTTACCTGTGTGAAATAATCACACACATATGTACCCACACGTATGCCAGATGCAGGAGCACACGCCCTTTTGATGCCCCCAGTCCGCCAGTCCCAGTCCTCTCACTACTGACGCTGATGCCCACGTTGTCCTGGATGTGGCCTCAGGGCTCTGTGTAAGTGGTACCCATGCCTTTGGCCCCCTAATTCCCTGAGTAACCCCAAACACTAGCCCAGAAAGGTATCCTGGGTCCATCTTGCCTTTCCTAGTCTAGTAGAATCTGCTGTTTCCCCGTGTCATTCCCTATGTGCCCCCCCCCTCAGGGAGGTGGTACAGTAAGAAATGGAGTGTGTCAGGTGCCAGGTGCACAGGTGACCAAGTCTAGAGATAGAATCAAGATAAAATTTGGCTGCCACCCAACCCCCGGCACAGCTACCTTCAGCTCTGCACAATCGTTGCCAACCTTTACCCCAGTTCATCATTTCATTGATCTTTTCTCACAACACAGTAACAAGATACCTGCACAGGTTCTGACATTCTTGACCATTCTTAGTATCTTCTTAGGAGTCTTTGTGAATCCCAAGATTTCTTACATCATAGACCCTTCCTTATAGTGTGTCTTTTTTTTTTTTTAAGATTTATTTATTTATTTATTTATTTTATTTATTTATTTGTACAAGCACTGGGTACAGCAGAAGCACGGGAGGGTGAGAGAATTCACCAGAGCCAAAGCGGGGAGCGGAGCAGGCAGAAGGACCGAAGTACACTGCTGAGGGGCGCAGTGGGCGGCAGGAGAGGTCTGCACTCCATGCAGGACCCTCCTCCGGTGGCCGGGGAGCAGCTGGGGATCGAACCAGCGCTGCAGAGGCTGCGGGCAGCTTCGCAACCCAGCGCTCAACCGCTGCGCCACCGGGGAGGCCCTTATAGTGTGTCTTAACCCACGTTCCTTTGCACACAAAGATACGAAAGTTAAAATTCATTTTTTAGGATATCTTTCATTTTGATGCAATGTATATTCTTCTGGTAAACCGATTTTCTAGAAGCCATCTTGCTAATTTTTGCCTTCTATTTCCTTTCTCTTTGCAAAAGCTGAAGAGTGAGCAGCCACTTTTTACCATTGTAAAATACTACAAAGTTGACCACAATTTTCTATAGCAGAGAGCACAGCTAGCTGACTTTAAGATTTGGTTTTAACATTTGGGTATGTTTCCTTAAACTCAGAATTAAGTATATATGGCATAAAAAAATGGCAACTGGGGGGTCTCCGCTGGTAGCGCAGCAGTTGAGCGCTGGGCTGCGAGGCTGCCCGCAGCCTCTGCAGCACCGATTGTTTCCCCGGCTGCTGGCGAGGGTCCCACAAAAAAAAAAAATGGCAACTGGGTTTCTTCCTAGCAACATGTGGTTTTATGCAGTCAGCAGGTTCCCTTTCATATACTAAAGCTGACATCACTGGCAAGGAGACCAGCAACCAAGACAGGCGTCAAGGAGGCCGCCCTGCCAGACAGCAGGTGACAGAGGAGCACAGGTCCCTGTGCCTCCTTTATACACAGGCACCTGTCCCAAAACTAGCTCCGTGGACTTCTGACAAGGACTGAAATGTGACCATGCATACCCCAAAGCCTTTTCCAGAAGAACGCTTTCCAATCAAGTGACACGTTGAGAAGGAAAACTCACCACCTCATAATCAAAATCACACAGAGGTGCCGGCTGATAACCAGGTCCATCTCGGTCCCTTTACCCAAGGACCACTAGTCCGGAAAGGGATAAAGGATCACAGCAACTGTGGACAGCAACGAGCAGCGCATGTGCACAAAACACGAGGAGGGAACGCCAGTGAACCAGGAGCCCATGTGTGGAGAAAAGCCAAAGGAGACAGACAGGCAAGATGAAGATCACTATGTTTAAAATATCTTAAATCTAGGGCCTCCCTGGTGGCGCAAGGGGTTAAGACGCAAACTATGAAGCTATCCGCTTCTCTGCAGGACGAGGTAGATCCCCCGGCCAGCCAGGGAGCAACCCACATGGGGCAGCAGACCTCTCCTGACTCGCCCGCTGCCAGTGTACTTTGGTCAATCTGCCCGTTCTGTTCCCTGCTCTGTCTCTAGTGAATCATCTCACCCACCACACCTCTGGCCTGTGCCCCAGCTCTTGTATCCATAAATAAATATTTTTTAAAAGTCTTAAATCTACAGTGAAGTGCTCTTCCGTCTGCTTCCGACAGAGAGGACTTAGAAATGGGATAACAAACTAATAGCTTACATCTGTGTGTATAAAAGAGCAAAAAATGAGCAAATCCTAAGTGCTCAGGGGGGCAAGAGGGGAGTTGTAACTATGAGGTGATGGACATTAAGGTGATCATTTTGCAATCTTTGTGTATCAAGTCACTACTCTGGACCCCTTAAACTTAACAATGTGGTATTCAATTATGGATCAGTAAAAGTAGAAAAATAAGCAAAACAGTGCAATCTTGATTATCCATAATGGGGCCTCCCTGGTGGCAGGCAGTTGAGCACAGCGCTGTGAAGCTGTCCACAGCCTCTGCAGTGCTGGTTCAATCCCGGCAGGCCAGGGAGATATCCACATAGCGTGGCAGACCTCTCCTGGCTCGCCCGCTGCTCCCCTCAGCAGTGTACTTCATCTGTCTGCCTGTTCTGTTCCCTGCTCTGTCTCTGTGAATCCTTTCACCCTCCCGCACACTGGCATGCACCCCAGCTCTTGTATAAATAAATAAACCTTAAAAAAAAAATCCATAGTGACTTTTTTAAAACAAAGGCATGGAAAATAAACTGCAAAAAATAAAATGATTTTTTGAAAAAGAGCCACCAGGTGGCAGAATTTCCCGAGTTTCACCTATGGGGAGAGACGCCTGTTACAAGAACTGACCAGAAGGTGGCACCATCGGCTCAGTTTCTAGGCACTGCCAGATGCCGCTTGGCCTGCGCTTAAGGCTTTTCACAGACCCAATCAATAACCCACATCTCAGCTGTCTTCCCAAACCAGAAAGCTCTCCTCTGCTTACGTTCTGAATGTTGATCTGCAGTTCCATTTTGTAGTGATTGAAGTCTTTGGCAAGTTCATGGCCCTGATGGTAGAAAGTAAACATTCCCTGAAAAAATGACAGCATCTAAGACAAAGGAGAAAACGCAACATTAGCACAGGTGAAAAATATTAGGAGGGGAAATAGTAATAAAAGCAGCCACGTATTTTCCTCATTTCAGGGCAAGCCTTCGAAAGTGAAATAATGAAAAGGAAGTCACCAGAATTAAACACAAATGCCTATTACTTACTAACTGCTCTTTATTTTAAAAGTGAAAGATTTTGATAGTTTTCCTTAAATGCCAGGACAGCTTTTATAAGAGAAATGGAATTCTTTGTAGCCCATTTGCCCTTTGTGGTGAAGAGAATTTCTATACTCGTTTATAATTGAGACTTTCCCACCGTGGACCAATCAACACAGAATGTCGGGAAAGTAAAAATCACAGATTAAAAAAGCTAAAGGCATCTTCTGATGGCCGCCTGCACAAGTGTGTCTTCCCTGTTGACAAGGGCATTTGGCGAGGGGGGCAGAGGTATCGGCAGGCCTGTAATTAATCCCTGATTTTCCTGCCACCACCAGCCCGCCCATCTCTTGATTAGTGGGCAGCGGCTTCTATACCGCCTGGAAGTAAACCCAGAGATGTGGTCTGCAGGGCAAGGTAAGGAAGCCCTGGGGCCCTATCTTATCCCGGCCACACAGCCCCGTAGTGAGGAGCAGGGACACTTGTCAAAGGGCCGTCCAGGGTCAATCCCAACTTCAGCCACCTTACGAGACCTCGGGCCAATGACAGAGTTTCTCCCCTTCTGTGTCCTCATGTGCTGCGTGGGAGAATGAAACCCCCCAGGATGAGTGGGCGGGGAACAAAGTGTGAGGACAGCAGGTGCCGACATCAGAGATGTGGCGAGGACTGAGCAGGTAAATGCTCCAAAAGAGCCAGTCAGGATTTCAATTTTCAATAAAAAGAAAACTTTAAAGAGAGTCAATGTTATCCTCTAGTTGTTTGATTCAGGTTAATTCTATGACTCCAACTGCAACAGACTTTGGTGAACACTAATTTTTAATCAGGCCATTAACTGACGGTTTTGTTTCTCAAAATCATCCCACAGCGGGCGAAGTGCGCGCACAGGAGACTAGTTCAATGAAGCACGTGCTTTAAAGCTCACATTCCAAAAAGTGTCTTAAAAAATGAAGATGAATCTGGAGATGCAGGAGTTCCCCACTTCTGTTATTTTAGCCAAAACAATATAAAAATACCTTTTACACTTTGATTCAGAAATAGAATCATAGATTTACATTAACATATAAAAACTGAAGTTATTAAAATAAATGTAAACACAAACAAAAATATTGAGTTTCTAAAATCACTATACAGAAATGCCAGAGCAATTCACCAACCAGCTTCAACTGTTCCACACGAGGTGGTTCATGTGCGTTGCTACAAGCATCGTGCATTAGAAATAATGTAATACCGATGGCTGCTGAAGTACTAAGATTTAAGTATCTTCAGAAAAACACTTAAGAGTCTCCCACATACCCTACCACTCTCACATTCCAATATAATTGCTTTCACAGGGAATTTGTTTGCAAGGTAGAGCTACAAGCAGGGTGGCAGAAACTGCACCTGAGTGCACTGTCCTCAAGACAGGGCAGCAAAAGGGAGAACAGCAGTTTCTGTTGCTCCACAAATGGATGGAGACCCACTGACAGAGGTGACCCCTAACCTCTGGCTGGCTGTGTCCCCCGACCTCTGGCTGACCGTGTCCACCCTGTACAATGGATGGCGTGTTGCTTCATGCATCAGCTGTCACCCTGAGGTCTCCAGCCACCTTAAATTGGATCTGGAAAGACATTTCTATTATATCACATAAATCTAAAAGCACAACCACCTGCTGTCATACTTACAGGTTCCACAAACTCAAACTTCTTCCTCTCTTGGATTTCCTGAAGCTTACACACATACTCAAGAGACAGTTCATAGAAGTGCTTCCGGTTCTGCTCCACTTGGATATCTGCCTATTAAAGATAATTGAGCTTGGTCAAGACTACAGTCCACAGGCTTTTCCCAGAAGAGGTCCCAGAGAATCTTTAATTAGAAAGGAAATGGGAGAGGCTCCTCAGAGAACCACAGGGAAGGAATTCTCATCCTAAACACTCCTCGTCCAAGGCTTCCTGTAATCATTTTCCTTATGTAGCTAATTTACTTTTTAAAGAACTGAGCTAGATATCTCTCCAACTCCATCATACTAATGACAGTGAGCACATGCAAAGATGCTCTACATCACTGATCGTTAGGGAAATGCAAATCCAAACCGGAAGGTACCACCTCAAGTCCATGAGAATGGTTACTACCCAAAAAGACAAAAAAATGAAAAACCAGAAAACAACAAATGCCAGCGAGGATGTAGAGAAAATGGAACTCTTGTGCACTATTGGTGGGAACACGAAATGATGCGCAGGGGTGGGGGGCGGCGTGAACTGAGGTGCAGGGTGACTGGCACTAAGGCGGCAGGTGAGGTATGCATGCAGACACTCGGCTGAAGAGGTGTGACTGGTCCTCCTGTACATGGCTATAAACCAAGTTAGCTCAATAGAATTAAAATTAAAAAAAGGTTCTGCCTGAGTATGACCTTTAGAATGAGATACCTAATTAGAGTGAAGAAGACATGGAAATGTGCTCAGATATGGAAACCCCCTCAGGGTGCCAGGAAACAGAGTAAGGACAGTGGTAGGAGAACCGCTGTCAAAAGGAGATCCACAAAAGCAACAGCTGTCACTTCAAAACTAACCAAGGGTAAGGGGTGGGGAAGCCTCTGTAACAAGCGCGTGGCGTTCCACATGATGTGCCATGAGGAGAGGACGGTGGCCTTCCTAGCTACAGTATTGTGGTCAGGATTAAGTGAGATAAAAGCTTCTTTCTTCCATATGATCTTTCAAATGTCATCCAAATGTCAGTCAAAGGCATCAGACAATAAAAAATGAGACACACAGAAAATGTCAGAATGACCTTAGGCTCAAAAGCCAAAAGCTGCCATTTAAAGGCAGGTTTAGGGCCTTCCTGGTGGTGCAACGGGTTAAGATGCAACCTATGAAGCTGTTTGCAGCCTCTGCAGCATCAGTTGAATCCCAGGCCAGGGAGCAACCCACATGGCGCAGCAGACCTCTCCTGACTTACCCACTGCTCCCCTCAGCAGTGTACTTTGGTCAATCTGCCTGTTCTGTTCCCCACTCTGTCTCTGGTGAATCCTCTCACCCCAACCCCCATACATACACACCCCTCAGGGCCTGTGCCCCAGCTCTTGTATGCATAAATAAACAAATTTTTAAAAATAAATAAATAGATAAATAAATAAATGCAGGCTTACAGTCCAATTTTGCTGGCACCATTTTGGCACCTCAGCAAGTACACATAACAGTGGCACCTTAACCCCAGATTTCTTACATGTTTAAAACTAAACACGTAAGAAAAAGAAAATCACGCTTTTGTGGGATGAGTCAAAATCAAACAGCTGCAAACAACGTTCGTTGTAATGGAAGCATATGTTCTCCACTGTGAACCGGTAAGTTTCCAGTCAAGTGAGTGAGAAAAAACAAGTGGCAGGGAATTTAGGAGACAGAAAGAGAAAATGAGAGAGAAGATATAAATTCCTTTCTCCTTACATACAGCTCCTCCAAAGCAAATGAGTCTATTAACACAAGTAAAACATGTTCTTTCCAATGGAGCTGAACTTCCAGAATCTGTAGCGTTAAATAAGATTAATGCTGCCTTCACATAAAAGCAAAATGGTATATAAGCCTATTAAATTCAATTAATTTCTTCAAGAAACCTTGAAAGCCAATTAATGAATCTATTCATGAAAATAATATATCTGTTCTTCAGTAATGATGGTTAAAATAATTGTTCCTGTGAAAATATACTCAGAACCAAAAATTTCAGTACCATGAATTCCTATTGAATTAATCACTGTAAGATGTATTATTTCCTGTCTTATTTGACAAGAGCTCTTTTTTCTTAACTCATGATGTTACCTGTTGATTTTTTTTTAATCTCTAATAATTCCAGATGAAAAGTTTTCAAAAGGAAAGCACATACATAAAAAAAGTCTCTGTATTGTTTATTAAACTTCACAATTAAAGGAAAAATAAAAACAATACCTCTTGCAAATGTGAGTCTTTCTTTTTTGCTGATAAAGTCAAATGTTTATCAATGAGGCTATAGTTCTTTTCTGTTTCTTTGTCAAACTTCTTTTTTTCTTCCTGCAAATTAGAAAAACACAGACAACTATGATTAAATGGGAAAAAAATGTATTCACATAGTTAATCCACTGGGAAGCTCAAAATATGAAAAACAGCTGAAAATAAAAGAAAGTACCAATGAAGTTATCTGAAATGTCTCTCTGCACCTACCAATGTCTCCTATCAAATGTCTCCTGCCTATCAATCATCCTGAGGGGAGCAGGATTGAAGAGCCATTTTTCTTCAAGGGGCTTTTCCCCAAGCCTGTTAGTTTTCTTCATTCTGTATAAGTTTTTGGGGGAAAAAAAACATTTACCAAGGCAGATTCCTAGTTCTCTTACTGAAAAGAGCAGGGATTTTTTTTTTTATATTTGTTCATTCTTAGATCTCTTTAACATAAAATTCTGTGATTCTACAATTCACCTATTATGGGAAAACAGTTACACTTATCTTGAAACACCAGCATTTTACTTTATGCCCTTAGGTTTCAGTGGCAGCTATTTAAAAATGTTTAAAGCACTAATATATGGTTAATCTCCTTCCTGTTCATCATTATGCTCTTCACCAACTATTTTAAGAACAGAAAATAAACTAAGACAAACATATGACTGTGACTTCAAACTGTTTTAAAAAGTTGATGCACTCCTGAAACTTACATGTCATACTGCAATGTTACTTGGATTAAAAAAACAGAGAAGTTAAAAGTTGCCCTTCCAGACTGCATGCTGGATGAGGCGTTGGAGACTCCAGTTCTAGTCCTGCCACGTGGCCAGCACACTCCACACAACTGCTACAAAGCAAGGTCCTACAGTAAAAAACATTCCTGGTCTTCATCGATTACTTACCAGGAACACTGAAAATATTTTCACTCATTGGATTTCATCTGAATCACAGGGCAGGACAAAGGAAGCAGTGAGGACAACATGGGCATCAGAACACCCAGCGTGCTCAGCAACAGTGGGGGATGTAAATGGCACGTGGGGTCAAATTGGGTATGAATGAAAGGGGTGACCTCAAGGTTTTGTGAAAAAAGAATTTCGCCAAGAAGCAACACTACACCCATCAGCGAGAGTGGAAATCCATCTGCTTGTGCTGGTGCATGGCAGCCAACCGCTGTGCTTTGTCTTCGAATCTTAGACTTAGATATAACTCTTCTTCCTGCATTTGCTCTCAGTAGTTGCCACCACAGAATCGTATTCTGTGTCCTTGTGTACAAATGCCTTTTTGTGCTGAAATAATAGGAATTCTAAAAGGACGATGTCCAATGAGCATTCAATAAAAATGGCGCGCTTTTTCTTCCATAACACACACACACACACACACACACGATAGGGATGGATACAGCTCTATGTATACATGTCTACATATGCTCTATGTATGCGCGTCTATGTCCATCTAGATAGGTACATGTAAATAAACAGATACATAAAATAGAGCAACGTGAGAGAAAAAGCTCTATTAAGGGCCAAATTTTTATAAAATAGTATTACAAACTCAAGCGAATCTGAGGCAGACAGTAATACAATTCATGAAGCAAACTGGAAGTAGAGCGCAGTGTAGGAGGGAGAGGACAGACAGCCTGAATCTAACTCAAGATGGGGGTGGCCATAAACCACTCCAGCAGATTTTTGCCACGTGGAAATACAGACCTGGTATCCAGGCCACACATGTCCACCAATTTTTTGGGAACAGCTGAAAAATCCAATTATTTTTAAATGATGGCAGCATTTTTTTTATGTAATATAAGCAAGTCAAACAAATTTATGTTTACAGATTAAATATGAGTCACAGGAAGTTAGTTTTTAACCTCTTATGAAACTCACACATGCAAAAAAAAAAATAGTAAGAAAGTGAAAGATAAAGTACTAAAGCTATGACTCAAAATAGCATTAAGTGGCCAAATAAAATGCACACTATACAAATGGTAATGGAAATTCATCAACCTAAAATAAAAACTTAAATAATTAGGTGTCAGGAATGCATTAGAAAATAGGTATTTATTTCATGAAAGGTGTTACCACAAGAAAAAGAAAAAACTGAGTCAAAAATAATAATAAAAATATTAAACACTGGTGCTGGTATAACTGGTTAACTATTTGGAAATAGAAGCACCATATCATGTATCAAAATTAACTCCAGATGAACTGAAAGGGTGCCAAGTAAAAAATGCAGCCATAAAAAAGAGAAAATTTTCATCCGATCTAAGAATAGAAAAGGGCCTTCTAAGCAAAAAGAAGAAAAAAAAAGAAATGAAGAGTCATAAGGAGTTCCGGATATCAAAAAACACAAAAGCTATATATGTGCACATACACAAAATAAGCTACAAGGCAAACAGCAAAGCAAGGAGGAACTGCAACTGATATCTAAGAAAAGCAAATGTTCTGAACACCAAAACCATTCTTTATTAAGCAACTTTTTGCTAAAATCACACGTTAATACTTCCATGAGAAAACAAAGACTTCAGAACAGCTTGAACATAACCGTGAGTCATCCATTTTCCTGGAGTACAAGAATTCTTCCTTGTTTTGAAAGAGGGGGTTGGCTTTTAAGATACCAAGTGACCTTTTTCTTAATTTTCAGTATTTTATAAATTTTCTAGAATGAGGAAATAAAAAAACTTGTTTTCAAATGTAAACATTAAATATCAAACTATAAAAATGATCCCTGAAAGTCTTATAAACACGAGCTTATTTTATAAACCCTCTGCCCTTTCTATTTCAATAAAGCAGGGGGGTAATCCCACATGTACAAGAAACAAGATTCAAGCCACAGCAGCACACAGGTAACCTGCGCTGTCTGTCTAAGCCAAATAAAATGTACACTGCACAAAATGGTAACGGACCCCAGCAGGGCCCAACCTCGCGCTCCCCCCTTCTACCATCACGCCAGTCAAGGGAAAGGCGCCCTCATCTTCAGTCTCTCCTGCACCAAGCATCACTCCTACCTGGCACTTCATTTGCCCTATCCAAACCCCAGTCCCCACTAGCCTTTTAGCTCCTTTGCCTCTCCAAAGAGATGGGAATTGGGCTTTTATCCCCGCAGAAAGGAGCACCTGCGTCTACACCCTGAAGGTGAGTCGAGGAGGAAGCCTTGGCTGCCGCAGTGCCGACCCTGGCAGACCGCCACCACCAGCTCTGGGACAGGTGGCTCCAGAGTCACCTACCCGCGTCCTCGGCATTACGCGGGCAGCATGGTCACCAGGCCAAGTGTGCTGGCAGCTCACCCACCTGCAGACAGTGGACGTGAACCTCAGCAATTCCTGCTCGGCCAGCTGACAGGGAGCAAGCCAGAAACAGAATCACAAAATAACTGCACCTTTGCACGCCAGGTCCGACGTCAGAGAGCTGGAATCCATGATGGGATTCACTGAATCCTTACGGGGACATTCTGGCACAGGTGCTGCTTGTCTCATCTTACAGCTCAGGAGCCTGAGACTTGGAGCTTTTAAATAACTTGCTCCAAATCCCATAGGCAGATAAAGGGCAGAAAAAGGATTCAAACCAGGAAGAATCAGGTCTTCCCAAAACACCATTCTGACCTGAGCTGGCAGCCCAGGGAATGTTCTGGGGCACCTATGCTGGCCCCAGGAGGGTATTTTTCACAGACTATTTTTCTTGCCTTTGAACTTGGCATCTCCTCCCCACAGAGCTGCCAACTTCCTGAAGGCCAGTCAGTGTCTTCACAGACTGATGTAGCCCAGGGCCTGCCACACTCTGTCCTACGATCGGCACAGGTGGGTGATTACTAACACCAGAGGACTCTAATCAAGTCGATACCTCGTCTTTGCTTTATCAACCATAACTTAATATGAGAATTTATTGAGAGAGAGAAGATTTTCACCCACCTCTAACAGAATCTTGGAGAGTCCATTTTCATTAAACATTTAGTCATAAGAATTATAAACTTAGAATTATAAAAGAAAGTTGGGGTAAGAGTTTGGTAGTACCTGAGGTGAGAAGTTATAATACATGACATGAACACTTTTTTCCACTTTCTGATTAAATTTTTTTGACCAAATGACAACTACTCTTGATAAAACAGCAGTTACATATCATCACTCTAGCTTAGGGGGTTCTGTTATCAAAATAACACTGTGGGCCTCTCTGGTGGCGCAAGGGGTTAAGCACTGCTCTATGAAGCAATCGGCAGCCTCCGCAGCATGAGTTCGATCCCCGCCTGGCCAGGGAGCAATCCACATGGCACAGCAGACCTCTCCTGTCTCGCCCACTGCTCAATCGGCCTGTTCTGTTCCCCACTGTCTCTGGTGAATCCTCTCACCCCCCACATCTCTGGTGTGTACCCCAGCTCTTGTATGCATAAATAAATAAATCTTTAAAAAAAAAAAAAAAACCAACACTGTCCTGTAACATTCCGCAGGTTCAGGTTGGCAGGTGGGCTGCAGGCAGCGTCACCGTCTGCCATCTGCATGCTGCTGCTTGAAGCCACATTTTCACTGATATTTGCTCAAGCATCTGAAAAAGCAACTTTAAATCCTCCACTGTGACTAAGTTCCAGTATTTCTCTGAGCTTTTACTCAACATATTTGGCTCCTATTTGCTCGGTACCTGTATTAATCTCCTGCAGCTGAGTCAACGTTTACCGAGCTATGGTCACAGAGTTGCGCGGACTTGGGAACACATGACAAGCTCCCAGGGAAGGGAAGCGCTTCCAGGGGTGAGAGCAGAGCTGGGCCTAGACAGGGCTCATGGCGACTCGCTCTGATGCGGCAGGCACACACCTGCGTCCTGCGATGGGAGGCTGGGACCTTTCAAACAGAGATCAGAAGCTGGGCAAGCAGCTAGGAAAATCAATAGTCCCTGCAGAGCAGAGGCGGAAGGCAAACCAAACAGACACAACTGAAGGAGAACATCTCCACACAGAAGCCAGAGGAAAGAATGCCAAGGGGGTGGGTTAAAAAAATCCAAGCTACACAAACCACCTACCAGCTCAGATTACGTTAAAACCACAAGTTACATGGTGTCACTGGGATTCTGGAAAGTGGAGAAATCAAGAGTAAATGAAACCAAAAGAGCTTCGGTTTAAATACGGCTAAGGGTGGGGCATGCTCAGCTGGGGAAAAGGCGAAAGAGAAGCTAAAATGTCCACACTGTGTCTGAAAAACTGCTGCTGTCGTCAACTTTTGAAGACCTTTTTTCCTAATCCCTACAAGAAAATGTGGCTATGCTGATTCAGAAAGGATATATAACCTAAGAAAATAGTTATTTTTATGCACCCCATATAAGTAGATTAACCAGAGGAACAAGAACTTGTGTCCACCAAACTGTGGTGAAATGCTGAGAAGCACAGATGGAGAGAAAGTACTCAAATACCAGATGACAAATATTTGCCTGAAAAATAATTTTCTCCAATTATTGGTTTAATAGGTTATTTATTAAGTTCCTTAGAGACTAAGGCAGGGTAGAGGATGGGAGACTGTAGAAAATGAAGAAAGGAAGCCTCGTCTTTTAAAGATTTAACAACCTAATGAAAGACAGAGATGTCTGTATATTACTTTATAGCCTAGCAAACCACCCCGATCTACTGTTTATTATAACAGACAAAACTGTGAGTTGAAAAATAAAAAAGGCTTCTTCCTGTGACCCACCACCACTGGCCTCCTCCAAGGTAACATCAACAGGTGAGACAGCCAACATAAATACTACCTGAGCAAGAATATCAGAGAGGGCCTTCCCGGTGGCGCAGCGGTTGAACGCTGGGTTGCGAAGCTGCCCGCAGCCTCTGCAGCACCAGTTCGATCCCCGGCTGCTCCCCGGCCACCGGAGGAGGGTCCCACATGGAGCACAGACCTCTCCTGCCGCCCGCTGCTCCCCTCAGCAGTGTACTTCGGTCCTTCTGCCTGCTCTGCTCCCCGCTCTGGCTCTGGTGAATTCTCTCACCCTCCCGACTGTACCCAGTGCTTGTATAAATAAATCTTTAAAAAAATAAAATAAAAAATAAAAATAAAAATAAATTTAAAAAAAAAAGAGTATCAGAGAAATCCTTCATAAGACTTGAAGCCAGAAGTACAAAGGTGAAGTGAAGAAATGGGTCGTCAGGATAGAATCTGGCCAAGGCACATACTAAAATTATGAAAATAATATTGACTTTTAATGTGGCAACTTATTTGCCAGTTACTTCACAGGATATACTCTGAACAGATACAGTATCAAAAGTTTGCAGGTATGGGGGGGCAGGGGAGAATCAGGATGAGAAATTTGTAAAAACCCAGTAGAAGAGATGATAAATAAGAAGAAAATACACTTAAGTCACCTGATTTTTCCCTTCCATGTTAAAAGTCTTTACCCACCATCATCCAATTTAAAATAAACAAGCAGACTTTGTTTTCTAGCAATGAAATGTTAAAAGAACCAAGATGTTCAAACTTTAATCAGCTTGAGGAGACAAGATCACAGCAAACAGAATCATAAAACCAGAAGAGGGCCAAGTCCCAAGTCCTCCATTTTATGGGCAAGGCACTAAAGACAAAGACATGCTCCAGGTCACGGATGTGAAACCAGAAATCCAACGTGGTGCTGCGAAGCCAGAGCTTCTTGCAGCTCAGCGAGCAATCCCGAGAAAGGGACTTGGAGTACATGGCACCCCATGTGGCATCCCCTCAAAGCACAGCCCTCCTAAAAACTGAAATATTATGCTGCAAAGAAATGTGTAATAAGCTAACAAGCTCCTTAAAGGAGAACGGATCCCCAAACTAGCAACTACCCCACTGGCTCCTTCACGGTCCACCTGGGTCCCTACAGCCTTCCAGGCCACAGTGGGTTTTTGCACAAGAGGATTTTAATAGTGTGTTTAGGAAAATAAAGAAAAAGACATCAAATCCCTAACCATGTGCAGAGAAAACCGCAAATCTAAATGCTCTTTCCTTTAAAACTGACACTATTCTCTTCCCTTTGGGCCAAGTCCCCACCACATGAAAGCTGCTTCTTTCCTTGAGAACATACACAAAATGCAGGAAAAGTGGGTGGAAATTATTTCTCTGGGACCATTTCAAAGCTCAGTTTGCAAACTTTGGAAAATGCTAAATATATCCCAGGCTCCCTGTGGCAGTGCTGACTACACTGTTCCCAGAAGTCCTGGCTGAATCCCAGATCCAGGAGTGCGGACTGGGGTTCTCTCCTCTGGGAATCCCCAGCTCCCGATACAATACTGGCATGTGACGAAAGCTCAGTATCTTTATCTCTCTGCAGGAAATGACAGCCCGATAATCTCATCCTCTCTTCCTCCTTTCAGTGGCATCATGAGGCAGCATCATTTCTAATCTTAAACCCTCGTACCTGCCCCACAAGCCCACAAAGCTGAGGCGTGCAGGGCAGGACCTGCACTCCCCGCAGAGATGAAGGGCTTGGACTCTGAGTCAACGTGTTGTTTGGTTAAGAAGACTGTTCAAACTCGATCTGGTTAGGAGCAGCCAAAGACCATTACTGGAGGGTTTACCACGCTGCCCAGGTGTTTGTGTTTTGTTTTCAATGGCACATCCCCCAAAGAGGAAAAAGCCCACTGAAAACATAAAACAACAGATGGTTCACTCTGGCATCTCCTTCGAGCTGCCAAATGGGAATCACGTGCACGCAGAAGCGGCAGAGGCGGCTGCACATTCTGTTTACAAGTGCACTCAAATGAGACACCAACCTTCACAGCTCCGAGTTGCTCTTTTCTGAATTTCTCCAAGGGTTTAATCAGGGTTTCGGTGACACTCAGTGCCTGGAGAATAAGAGTGATAACAAAAGAGCATGGTGTTAGGTTTCCAAAAAGGAAAAAATTAGTATTTTATTTCCCCCTTCCACCCCACCCAGGACTAAAACGAACCACAGATTTAACAGCTTTGTTTCCCTCTGCCAATGCAACCATTAAATCACTTGGAATTTATTAACACACTAGCTGTCCATAAATATTTTTAGGGATGAGGGTGTGAGGCAAAGCACCAGTGAAATGGGCCACACGGTCCCAACCCAGCTCCTGCAGGGAAGTAGCCAGAGCGGTCTGCAAACAAAGGGCGATCGGGGGCATGAACAGAACCTTCTGTTGGAGAGTTTTTTTCTTCCACCCCCTCCTCACAAATTTAAAAGTCAATTGCATTCCATGATGGATAATCAGACTACATTATGTGAAGGACGAGGCCTGCCAGAAGACTGTTCAAACTCGATCTGGTTAGGAAATACAGTACGTCTGCCCTTCCCGACTGAAAATTCCTCCGAGGGATCTGAGGTCTGTCCGCCAAGCTCACTGAGTCGCCGAGTGGCCACGCCGGCCAACAGTGCTTAAGGGTTGGTGGACATGATGGGCCATGCACACTCTAAGCACATGCCAAGCACACACCAAGTACCCCGTTCATTCTTCAGGGCTGCTCGGGGGTGGGGGCGGGGGTTGTTTCACAGCAGGATATACAACCAGCAGTGCAGAAAATGCTAAAAGAAAAAATGCGGGGGAGGGGGTCGTGACCTCAGGAGAAAGCCTTTACCACCCGTGTGCTGCTGCTCCATCCAAGGGTTTTCTCACCCTCCACTTCCAAGAGACAAGAAATGTCCAGAATGGGAAAGGAAACCTCAAAACACCTCACAATCACGTGCAGTCTGACTTTTTACAAAAAAGTCCCCAGAAATCCAAACTTAAAACTATAAAAATCAATGACTTGGACTAGAAAACGATTCTAAATGTAACCAAAGGTTCTTTTGCAGCGTTGATTCCATAAGGGCTTCTCCCACAGAGACGGTGACACAGGGGGTCCTGAACCAAGTGCTTACACCCAAAAACAGGTGCACAGAGTTTGAATTCACCACCCCTGGCCAGCAACGGGGTGGTCCTCACTCCCACCCGACAACCTGCTGCTTGGGTGTGTAATGGCTGAGGCAACAGCGATAAGAAGAAAGAATTAAGAGCAAATCAAGGAAAAAGGATCATCTTCAACATGTTGATTTTATCCTCTCTCGGGGTCGACCAGGTGACCGACAACGAGGACAAGCCAAAAAAGAGGAAGGACCAAGCAGGACAGTCCAGGAATCCCAACTCCCCAAAACTACATGCCGTCCCTGGTCCTTTTGGGAAAGCAGTTGCGAGAGGTTCTAGCACACATTCTAGAAGTGACACAAATTGACATACACGTCTCAGACTAATTTAAGCCACATCCGGTGGGAACCAGTGTCACTGCCCAAGCTCCCCTGTGTGGATCCAGGCTTCTTGGAGGTCCTGGATTAACCTACATGTAATACAGCTTCCGTGGAGGCCGGCAAATGCAAGGGAAGAGGGTCAAATAGAGACAATGAAAGAACCATTGCAGTCAGCGGGCAGAACACACCCACGGCAGGGCCACAGGCCCTTTGAGATGGGGAGCAATTTATGAAGATAGGCATCTGCCTTGACGGGAGGTTTTCTCTAGCAACCGGGGATGAGGGAGCAGTGGGGTGTGTCTCCCTGAGAGTATTTCCAAGAGATGCCAACACATCAGAGTAATAGGACAAGCAGGGGCAGCACTGGGGAGCCACCCAGAGGTGGCAGCCATCTGGGTAAGAGAATTTCTGAAGGGGGTAAGGCAGAGCTGAACCTCCAACAGGGCCCAGGAGTTCTCCAGGCAAAGGTCAAGAGTGACAGGAAGGGGCTCATGAGGAGAGGGGCAACAGCAGCCTCAGGACAGCACACTATGGAGAAGTCACTGGCACTAAAGCAGCTGAGAAGGCCGGCTGAAGAGATGGGATGAGTAGCACTCACCCTCAGGACGGGACCTAGGAAATGCTCGGTAAATGCTAGATAGAGACCCCGCTAACATGGATATAGGGAGGCCTTTTCTAATACGCACCCTAAAACTCCATACTCTGGGGAAAGCACTGCCCTTCAAAAAAGGACCAGGCCCCAAAGAATACACAAGAGCAACTGCAGTCACCCAGGTGGTTAGGGGAGTCGACCTGCAGAGGTCATAAAAAGGAGCAGCGGGTCCCAGATCCTCAAACTCAACTAACAATAGTTCAGTGATTGAATACACAAATTTAGAATTTGCTAATGAATAAAAATCTGCATATGAATGGACCTTCATAATTCACACCCAAATTTTCCAAGGGTAGACTATATTTGTCATTAAATCCAATGCAATATCCAGCTGACTTCCACAGACTGACACTAATATAGGAAAAATATAAGGGGGTTCTGCCTTAGCGTTTACAGGTCAATAAGCAATTTTCCAGAACAAGCAGTTGAGTTGTGGTAGATACGATTATATCCAATCTTTCATTTAAAAAATCTTTTAATTAAGAAATTTGAAACTTAAAATTCATTATCATTTTTCTTCTTCAAGAAAAGCCTGATGTTGCAACTTCTGAACTGAATCTTAGTCTTCTTAAGAACAAAATGATGAAGCTGATACTATCTGCTCCAGTAAGGCACTGTTGAATGAGCAACATGGATAGTTTTTCTTTTGGGGGGTCTCCATGTGATCTCAGTTCCTTTTATAATTCCACAGAAGTGTTACATAGTATTTGTTAGTAACAAGCATCACTGATGTTTGAATCATGCCAAACCATGATCTTCTTCCTCAGAGACAAATGATATCAAATCTAAGACTATCCCAAAAGCTAGAAAGGCAATTCTAGTGATAACAATTTCCCACTGTGAAATAGACAGCTGAAGTAATCATATTAAGTGTTCAAATGCTAGCACTTGAGAAATCAATCATTCAAAGCGATAGAAAGCATGTATAGAATGTGATTTTACAAAGACACTTGGAAGAATATAACACCACACTTCTTCCCATTAAATACTTGAGCCAGGCACAAAAAGGAGTTACAAAAAAAGCTTTTGCTAATGAGTCTTGGAAAGGGTTTTGGAGAGTCCTGCTTAGAAATAAAATGCACTACGTCAACATAAAACATGTTGGTTGATGTCACCTTAGAATCTATTTCTATAAAATGCTAGGTAGCAAGTTAGGCTTTGCAGTCACATTGCTTCTGTTACAACTACTCAATTCTGCCCCAGGACACAAGAGCAGTCACACACAGCAGAGGAAGAATGAATGTAGCTGAGTTCCAACAAAATCTTATTTACAAAACTGAGACACAGCTTCAGTCCCGGAGACCATACTGGGCATAAGATAGTCTTTTGCAGGGGAACAAAAGTTGGGAGGAAAGGTTGAATGCTACACAAAGAATCACAGATCAAGTAGCCCTTAAGCTGAAAAGAGAGATTTAAAGGCGGGTGGGACAACTTGTCTGAGACAAGCTTCCTGCCAGAGTTCAGTGCTGCAAGCAATTGCTCACGTGAAAAGGTACCTTAACACCACTCTTTGTGAATTTAATAGCAAGCTTTAACAGGGGATTTAGCCACCAGAATTTGAGTTATCTGAAAGCTGAGCATGAGCCAAAGAGGTCACAAAGCACCCCAACCAACACATACCCAGGTTACTTATACTGTCCCAATCCAAACAAGGTCATCATTCAACTGTGTTCCACAAGCCAGAACCTATCTCAATAGCATCATTACTACATTTTAAGAGCGGCGTTTTCCAAGTGGGGTAAAGAAGGAATGTGATCAGAATGCCATAACATGTTAGGTAAACTAGGCTTAAGGGGGGCGGGGGAGGGTGCTTAATAGAATCAGGAAGATATCTTTAAATTTAAAGATATCTTTACATATCTCATGTATTAGCCACATGGCCTTAAAAATGTATTTTTTCCCTATACAAGAAGGAAAAATTCACTTTGATTTGCTTAAAGAGGGCAAACCCAGGTCTAATGGGAAGGAACTAGTGCACTAGATTTGGGTCCCCTGTCAAGAGGAACTCAGCAGCACCTACAGTGCACCAGAGAAGGCAGAGACCTGGATCTAGCTCCTACCACATAAAAAATAAAGCTCAATCACCAGTGTCCAGAGAGCCTCTACTATGGATTCCTGCATTGAGAGGAAGTTGGCCTAGGAGACCTATCCATCTCTAATTCAGAGAGTCCACATAAGTTGGGAGAAGCAGAAAAGCAAACTCCGTTTCCAAGTCGCTTCCTAATGCCATGAGCACAAACCACAGAATGCATCAGAATCTCCTGGTTCAAAGTAAAAGAATGAGGTAACAGCCTGGAAGATTAGAACTTTTCCTATACTTAGTTACAAGTGAAATCCTTTTTCATTAGACATTTCGATATAAGAACTTCAACGTCTAAAAACAAAAGGACTTTTTTTAAATTTAATGTAAAACAAAAAGTAAAGCAGCAGTAGGATGAGCTTATTAGTTACCTCTAGTTCAAGCTAGAGCTGATAACTGTGGACAGTGACAACTGGCGAGCCAAGAATCACACTGCACTGTGTCTGGGGGTGGGGGGAGAGGGGTACTGGGGCTGGGGGAGATACTAGGATTGGGGAGAGGGACAGAGAACTTTAAACTTCCCTCACATCTAAGAACAAAGACGAAATTTTGATGTTGGCAGTCCTGAAAGAAAACGGGGTTTAGTGCTGGGAACCCTTACTCTCCATAAAAAGACAAAAGTACAGCCCATGATACATTTAATAACAGCTTTAGTCTTGGTCTAGGCAGAATAGTAAGTCGCTGTAAGTACTAGATCACTGCCTTTCTAGCCACTCAGTACGAAAAAGGCTCAACTGAGTCTAATGAAACACAAGGAATTATGTCTGGTCCCCTGCCTCGTTATTTTAAGCCTGGCCCAGTGCTCTTGACCCTAGAGGAATGTATAATCTGAGAGCAAAGGAGAATGTCCACTGTATTCTCCCAT